GCTGTGGCTCAAGTGGTAGAGTGCTAGCCTTGAGCTGAAGAGCTGAGGGACAGCGCCCAGGCCCAGAGTTCAGACCCCACGACCGGACACCACCACCCACCAAAAAATAAAAGAAATAAAGGAAACAGTTGGGCACTAGAAGCTGAGGCTTATAATTTGAGCTACCCAGGAAACTTAGGATCAAGGAGGAAAGGAATAAGGAGAGAAGGAAGAGGAGAAGGAAAAGAAACAAGGAGAGGGAGAGAAAAATGTCAAGACTTTTGGGTTAATCTGATTGTAGAATTGTCTAGTGGTACGCTGCCAACTGTGGCTTATTCTGTTATTTTTTTTTGAAGTGTGTGTGATGACATACTAATTATAAGATTGTCACAAATATAATTAGTTTATTACTACAGTGTAGCTTGGCAAATTCTCTTGGATGTTTCCTAACACATAGATCTAATCTATACCAAAATAAACATATTAACAAGTCTTCCTTTTGAAATACTTTATGGTGCTGCCCCACCTCCAGTGGCTCAAGCCTGTAATCCTAGCTACCCAGGGGGCTGAGATCTGAGGATAACGGTTCAAAGCCAGCCAGAGGAGGAAAGACAGTGAGACTCTGATATTCAATAAACCACAGGAAACCAGAAGAGCTTTCTGTGAGTTCAAGCCCCACGACCGACCAAAACAAAAACAACAACAAAAAAACCCTTTATGTTGTTGTATGGTATTCTATATAAATATGGGGAAAGCAATATAAAATTGGCTTATTTGGATCCTTTTTAATTCAGTAAATCAATCCTCCCCATCTCTCCCTTCCTCCCTCCCTCCCTAACTGTACTGTTCCTTAGTTTTTTCACTCAAGGCTCGTGCTTGAGCCATAGCTCTACTTCTGGCTTTTTAGGTGATTAATTGGAGCTAAGAGTCTCAAGGCCCGGGCTGGGAATGTGGCTTAGTGGTAGAGTGCTTGGCTAGCATGCATGAAGCCCAGGGTTCAATTCCTCAGTACCACATAAACAGAAAAGGCCGGAAGTGGCTATGGCTCAAGTGGTAGAGCGCTAGCCTATCACCAAAAGAAGCTCAGGGACAGTGCCCAGACCCTGAGTTCAAGCCCTAGGACTGCCCCCCCCCCCACCAAGAAAAGTCTCAAGGACCAAACTGGACTGGACTGCGATCTCAGATCTCACCCTATTAAGTTTAACTGATTACAGACGTGGTTTCCAGGTAACTTGAAAAAATAGTCATCAGGGAATTGAAATACCCTTTTGCTGGCCTGTTTCTTGCTAAGAAGTGAACTTTTTGGCGACTCAAGTTTCTCATATTTCAGCATCTCTGATGCTTAAACTCTCTTCATTGGCTCTCATGGTCGCTACGAATAAGTTAAATGCTTAACTGTTTCGTCACGATTCCTGATATTAATACGTTATCTCAGCACCAAGACAAGAACTAAAGGACGATCTTCTAACCATCTGGTATCCCGCCTGGATAGCAATTCCTGTACATTCTTAGTACCTCCCGGGCAAACTCAACATTAACTACTTCCAGGCGGGCAGGCTCAGCGGGACTAACACACAGACGTGGGTGAGAATCATTACACTATACCGATAAGATTTTCAGAGGAGATAGTCCAGAAGTCGAGCGACCGGGCCAGCGTCGCTTCTTTTTCACAATAGCACCAATCACGGTTTGACTCGTTCCTGGAAACGCGCAGACGGTTGGCACTCCCCTGGAGGGCAGATTGCAACACAAGGACAGCGTGGCCGGCCACACCCAAAACCAAGAAATGTGCAAACCGTAGCCTCCAGTGGCAAAACTGGAACCTGATTCCTCGCATCCTTTTTCTGTCTCATTAAACACTCAAGATAAACGTTATCTTGGCGGCTGCCAAGTTGCTCCCTTTCCAACCAGCAGCTGATACCGTCTCTGGTTAAAAGCCGGTCCAGCGCAGTTGCATGCTTGCAAGGGCGGCTGCAGCGTCGGCGGGTCGCCGTACCGCGTCGCGGGCAAGCGCTGAGCGCGCGCGTCCGCGACACCAGGCTCTCCCCGCCCGGGCGCGCGCCTTCGTGGTCCCCCGCAGGGCCGCGGCCGCCACCCGGAACCAAGCGCGCGGGCCTGGAGCGAGCGGTGCCACCCGGACGCGCACCTCAGCACTTCCTGCGTGAGGCTTCCGGCTCCGGGCTCCGGGAGGAGGGCCGGTGGGGCTAGAGGCGGAGCCGCCTCCCCTGCCGCGACTTTTAGACTCGGAGCATGGCCGCGCGCTGGTGGCGGTGGCCACACGGCTGTTCCTGGAGGCCGGCGGCGCGGAACCCCGGGCCGGGATGTCCGGGCCGTGCAGGGTCGCTCGGGCCACGCGCCGCTCCCGACGGTCGCGCGCAGGTGAGGCCGGGAGGGCCGAGCCCCGCTCCGCCGCAGAGGTCACGGCGCCAATGACAGCGGCGCGGCGGAATGAATGGGAGCGACGCGCACGTGCGTCGGAGCCGGGGGAGGGGGCGAGGCTCGCGTGTGCCTGGAGGAGGGACGCCTCCACGAGCAGGTGCCGAGAGGCGGCCCGGGAGCCCGGGGGACGGCGGGCGGGGATCGGGAGAGGAGCCGTGCAGATCTGGGGTCCGGGGGAGACGGCGGGGGTGGTCGGGGTGGCGAGGGGCCTGGGGATCCTCCGCCGCCGTTAGCTTTTCCAGCTGGAGTCTTCCGGCAGCAGACTCTTCTAGACTTCGGGGGGTGGGGGTGGGGGTCCCCTAAGGTCACTCTCGGATCGACTTCGGATTCCCTCGGCCTTGGGTAGTTGTGGGAAAGGGTCAAGTAGGGACAGCGGGGCTGATGCTCGCTGTGGTGCGCAGGGCTGCAGTCCCAGAGCTGGCGCTTCGGGAAGCGCACCTCTGGATGCAGCCAGAAGGAGATCGGCCAGAAGGTGGTAGGAGAGAAACCTTGGGACTGACTGTTAAATTTCACCTATTACTTCTTGAAGTAAAACGTTAAGAGTCATGGCTCCCATATCAGCTTCCTGGACCACAAGGAGGGGCTGCATACAATACTATGTTAGTACTATGCAAAAACATAGATAGTACCGATGATGGCAGTACTATTTCTAATTTCTATGTCGGTGAGAGTCTCCCTCTGCGCCCCCCCCCCCCCCCCCCCGGCCCCAGGCAGATAGATTAGCATTAAGGTGTCTGAATCAGACATGTACGTTGTGGCTAGTTCCAAGTCTTAGGGACTCAGTTGTATTTAGAGACAAAGAGAAATGATAAGCCACGTTTGGCTCTCCAACATAGCTATGCTCCTTCCTGGCATTTGTATTTTATCCTGAGTTCTCCCTGAAATATTAACAAATCTTGTGAGGGAGTAAAATATCAACGTGCATTTGTAATAAATCACTTGTCAATATGTCTTTGGCTCCTATCAAACATTTTTAAAAAGTGAGTTGCTAAACTAGGAGTGTAACTCAAGTGGTAAACCATTTGCCACATGAGCAAGTACAGGAAAGATAAAAAGTTCATGAGTGGCAAGATTAACTTTCAGGAAGAGTAAGTAATGGGGGAAAGAAGCTGGAAATGGAGGGCCGGAAGGTGTCTCAGTGGTAGAGTGCTTGCCTTGCATGCATGAGGCCCTGGGTTCGATTCCTCAGTACCACATAAGCAAAAAAAGAAAAAAGCCGGAAGTGGCGCTGTGGCTCAAGTGGTAGAGTGCTAGCCTTGAGCTGAAGAGCTGAGGGACAGCGCAGGCCCAGAGTTCAGGCCCCACGACCGGACCCAAAAAAAAAAAGAAACTGGAAATGGAAAATGATTTTCTCTACTAGCAATGAGTTACAGACCTAGCACTATCTCCTCTTGGGAGAGCCTCTGCTGTAACTTTGGAAAACATTGCCCTGAAGTACTATTAAAGAGAACACAGCTTGATGGACTAGATAATGTTTTTAATAAGTCTTAAGTGGTAGAGCACTTGCCTAGCATGGGCCAGGCCTTAGGTTGATGTCAAACTCTTCAAATTAAAGATAAACTATGTGTTGGTTGCTAGACTTTGAGCCACTTTCCATACACTGTACCCCATATTAATTCCCACATGATCGTGCCATGATTCATTATTATTTGGAACTTGTCATTTTAGTGACAATTTCCAATTGCTTGGACCCATTCAAGCAATGTTGAGATTTGAACCAGGCTCTGTTATTCTCCAAAGACTAGTACAGTCTTGAGCTTCCTGGTGGTACTCATGTAATGTTAACATTTCCTCCCAGTTTAGAGAAATGTCCTTAAGTCTTAGATTGAATAGGCATACTCTTCCGTGAACATATCCTTATTTATAGGTATTGTAATAAAATACTGCGTTTGTGTGAATTTATTACCCATGAAAACTGAAAGAAGCACATGGCAGATGGCCTGTAATCCCACCTTTGGGTGGTTGAAGCAGGCCTGCCACAGCAGCATAGTTACATTCCTAGCTCAAAGAAAAAAAGAAAAGAAAAAGAAAGAGTAGGTTCTCATATAATGGTAAAATCAAAAGTGAGGATTATTTCTTTCCTTGGAACATAACTGCCTGAATGTTATAACTGTTCTTATTGGCTTAATGGCTAAATAATGCTACAGTGGATAGAATAGATGTTGTTTTCTTGGACACTGTTAAAGTCAACATTTACTGTCATTTTATTTTTTTATTATTATTATTATTTTTGTCAGTCGTGAGGCTTGAACTCTGGGCCTGGGCGCTATCCCTGAGCTCTTCAGCTCAAGGCGAGCGCTCTACCGCCTGAGCCACAGCGCCACTTCCGATTTTTGAGTAATTTATTGGAGAGTCTCCTGGACTTTTCTGCCTGGGATGGCTTTGAACCATGATCCTCAGATCTCAGCCTCCTCAGTAGCTAGGGTTACAGGCGTAAGCCACCGGGGCCCAGCTTTACTGTCGTTTTAATAACACTAAAGCATTATATGTTCATTAGCAAAAAAAAAATATTTTAAGTATAACAAAAATGAACAAAACAAAAGCATCCACACTTTTGTTTAGTCAAAAATAATTACTTTTTGAGCCTAACACCAAGCAATCCTAGCTACTAAGGAGGCTGAGATGTGAGGGTTAGGATTCAAAACCAGCCAGGGCAGGAGAGTCCTTGAGACTTGTTTTTATTGTAAAGATACTGTACAGAGGGGTTACAGTTACATGAGTAATGAGTACATTTCCTATTGAGCATTGTTACACCCTTCCTTGGGACTCTTGTCTGCAATTAACTACCAAAAAAACCTGTAAGTGGAGGTGTTGTCCCACTTGAGCACCAAATAGGACAGCACCCAGGCCCTGAGTTCATCCCCAGGACCAGCACCAAAAAACAACAAAATAGCAACATAAAGTAACTACTTTTAATACTGTGGATTACACTTTCATACCCTGTCTGTTTTACTTTTGTGTGTATGGCATGTGTGTATGTGTCTGTATATGTGTCCTTTCGTGAGATCACATAATGCAATTCTATAGCTGCTTTTTCCCCCTATGACATTTTAGACATACCTGCAAATTTTTGTGCCAGTAGTGGGCCTTAAACTCAGGGCCTGTGCTCTGTCCCTAAGCTTTTTTGCTTAAGGCCGGCACTCTAATCCTTTCAGTTTTTCAGACTTGACTTCTCTATGCTTAAAAGTCCCTCAGCTGTTTAAAAACACATATTAACCTGCAGCAAATTAAGGTTACTAATTTTTTTTTTAATGTCTGGATTCCTGAATTCTTCAAGGCTGGTAGTTAGGGCCTAGGGACTAAATGATAAAGCTGCCAAGCAACTTCCAAGACCTAGATTCAATCTACTGTACCAAAAATTTCACCAAGAACAAACCCCAAAACTCAGTAATTGTTGAAACTAATATTTGTTACCACCTCTGAATATTTTAGGAGTCTACTTTGGTAGTCTGATCTCTGATTAACATTATCCAAATGTATGAGAATTTCTTCACTCATGCAGAGCACATATTCTACCAGTGAGCCCCCATTTTGTAAAAAATCGTTCCCAAAGTACACTTAGTAACAAAAAAGTAAACGATGTTTGTTTAAGAGTAACTTAATAGTAAAATCTTTTCTCTTTCTCACGAGCCTAGATAATAGTTTTTGTTTTCATTCCTCTTTTTGGTTGTACTGGTTTGAACTTGTGGCCTCTGACTTCGTATGCAAGGCACTATACTATAACTACGAACGTGTGGTACTAAGGATTGAACTCGGCTTTGTGTTTATAAAGTAAATGCTCTTCTATTTGAGCCTCCAGACCCTTTCGGTTTTATTTTCAAAGTAGTTCATGCGTAAGTAGGCGTGGCCTGCATTCTCTTCCTACTGCTACCTTAGTAGCTGAGATTAACCGGAGCATACCACCTAGCCATAGATTGAAATGAGTCTGAACTTTTATGTCCCTGCTAGTCTCAAACGTCCATTTCTCATCTCTAACTTCCAAGTAGGTAGGTTGAAAGAAAAGGTTTCCCTGTATCCAAGCTGGCCTTGAATTTAGCCTTCCAAGTTTGGGGATTACAGAATGTAAATAAACCACCAGTTTTCACTATCCTCAGTTGTAGTTAAATAAAATGGAATTGTTTTAAAATTATTTTTCAGGTCTAGATAGATAAGGAATGTGGGAACTGGCTTTTGTTAGGGAGATAGATTATAGATGAGTTTTTCCTCTTTTTTTTCCCTTATGTTTTCTGTGATGACAAATATATTGCTTTTGTAATAAGGAAATTAAACTTTTTTTTTCCTTTTTGTCAGTAGTGGGGCCTGAATGCTGGGCCTGGGTGCTGTGTCCCTCAGCTCTTTCGCTCAAGGTTGGCGCTCTACCGCTTGAGCCACAGTGCTACTTCCAGCTTTTTCTGCTTATGTGGTACTGAGAAATCAAACCCAGGGCCTCATGCATACAAGGCAAGCACTCTACCACTGAGCCACGTTTCCAGTCCAAGGAAACGTTTTATAGTGACCTTTTTGGGAAGTTTGCAACCTACCTATAAATGGGTGATTTAAAGATTATGCTTATTATGAATAATGGGGTATTGTCCTGTGTTACAAACAAGTTTTTTAAGAATAGCCTTACAAAATTCTTGATACTTTTATTTTCTAGATTCCCTATTGTAGTCTTGTGAAG